GGAATCGTTGCAGAGACTTGACATTGTGTGGGCGTGGATATTCCTTTACCGCTCGTACAGTCTCTTCTAGAGTTCCGATTCCCAGATTACTAACGCGGTGACCGAGAGCTTTTATGGAGTGATGAGCTACGTAGCTTTTCTTGGCGGATAACGTGATACCCGATTTGGTTACAAGCTTGAGAATAGTGTCGACATCGTTGGCGTGTTGATCGAAGGTCTTACTATAGATAATAATATCATCGATGTATACAAGAGAGATCTGCCACTTGTATCGACCCAAAATACGATCGGTGAGTCGTTGGAATACACTTGGTCCAGTCTTGAGACCGAAGGGCATTCGTTTGAATTGGTGAAGTCCGGCATGGGTACGGAAGGCGGTCTTTTCTCTGTCTTTCTCGTCGACTTCGACTTGATGAAAACCTTTGTTTGCATCGAAGGTAGTGTAATAAGCCATACCGGAGAATTGTGTCAATATATCGTCGACTCTAGGAATCGGATATTGATCGCCTTTTAGTACGGTGTTGATTTTCCGGTAGTCTATGCAGAAACGATCTTTTCCTTTTTGATGTACAAGGATAGCTGGGGAGGCCCAAGGCGAGTCAGACATTTCAATGACATCGTCTGTTAGGAGTTCCGCAATCGTTTCTTCGATGATCTTTCTTCCGTGTGGAGAAGCGTGGTAAGGAGGGGAGGATATAGGAGCGGCGTCTCCGGTATCTAACGTCATCTTGACTAAGTCCGTTTGGCCAAGCTTGTGAGAACCATAGGCAAAGGCGCGCCGGTTTTGATAAAGGATCTCAAGCATTTGTTTTCGTTCTTCAGCATTGAGCTCAGGGTTGATATTGAATTCTTCCATAATGGAGAGGAATTGTCTTTCGTCATCGTCGTTCCGACTGATGAAGTTTATGAAGGCGGAAGCGGTGGTCTGAGGTTTAGCTCTTTCGATGGTTGGATAGAGAGCAGCGATAGGTTGTCCACATAACAACTCTACCGGTTTATTGGAGGTGTTCATGACTTGCACGCGATGGTCCAAGGAGTTGGTCCATCCTACTGAGCGAGCTACCATTAGTGGAACTTCGTACTCAAAGTCAGGTTCTAGTAGGTAGGACTCGGTGGTGATGTTTCCTTCTATTTCGATTGGAAGTTCCACCATGTGGCCGGGAGTGATGGTGCATGTGGCTTTGACTCGGGCGATCGGAGATTGCATCATTTCTTGAGGGATTCTACAGGTTAGACGAATCTTACCTGGATTGCCCTTGAACATCAATATTCCTTGGTGCAAGTCAATATTGGCTTTCTTCGTTACGAGAACATCATTTCCCATAATAACGGGAGTGTTGTTGGAAGCGATGAAAAACTTCATTGGCATCGAAATGAAATCAGGTTTATTGATATTCTTGAAGTTGAGAGTAGTGTAGAGGATCTCGGTGACAATAGCGTTGCCTAAGCCTTTCAACTCAAAGCTACTGCATTTCTCCCTTCTACAATTCGGCAGGTATTCGTTCGCGAAATTTCCGTCGATGATGGAGATGGAAGAACCGGAGTCAATACATATGGGGAAAGAGAATCCTCCAACTCGCTCGAAAGCGCAAGTTGCGTAAGCAGGAGTTTTGTCTTTCCACGAGTCCTCATCTTTATATTCTGAGGGTAATTCGTTTGTGGTGGAAACTATTGGAGCACCTGAGACTGTTGGAAAGTCTTGTGGGATATACGGAAAGGTAGATAACGGTTTCGGCTGCGTCGGCTTCGGAAGTGGTGCAGGGACAGGCTCCGGATTTGGAGAAGGCGCAGGAGTTCTGGGTTCTTTGAGCTGAGCTCGAGCCCTAGTCGTAATAGCGTTTGTCGTTTTAGAGAATGACTTCCATTTGTTACCATTCATCGGAGTGCGATTGCTGTCACTAACCGAGTGGCTTGCAGAAGGTCTGGAAGAACCAGAATTCCGGAAATCGTCACGAGGCTTCGAAGGATGAGGGCAATCTTTTCTCCAGTGGTTGCCTCCACAGTTGAAGCAATTCGTTCGAGGAGCGGAGGAAATATTTGCGCTGCTGGACGTGTCGGAGGGGTTTCCATAAGTAGGACGGATCATCCTAGTTTGGGAAACGGTAGTAGATCCGTCTTTGCGGTCGGTACGTTCGTAGTTGGAGACGGACACGTTTCTAGGATTAGAATATGTTTTCCTGCCTCTAAGGCCAGGTTCTAAGTCAATAAGAATTCTTCGGAATTCTTCCATAGTGGTAAAGCGAGAAATACTAGCTTTGACAAGGGGTTGCATAGTTAAAGGTATTCCTTCTATCATGTCCTCTATCAACTCGTGCTGGGGAGTCGATTCGGGGAAAACGTATGATTGCAACCTTTTCTTGTCAGCGAAGTAATCGCCAAAGGACTCGTTCACTCGAAGCGATCGGTAGAGACATTGTCTCCTAAGATTTGCACGATGGTTAGGCATATAGAAGGCATTGCGAATAGCAAGTTGCCAATCATGCCATGTTCTTAAAGCAAGTCGAAATTTTCCGAGTTGAGTGAACCAGGTGAGAGCGTTACCTTGAAGAACCAAAGGTAATTGTTGAAGGAGGTCCGAGTCATGCACGCCCGAATACTCAAAGATAGCAGATACCTTTTCGATCCATTGATCGACGTCTTCGTTGTCTTTGCCGGAGAACTTGGGTAAGTCTGAAGCTTTGAGCTTGGGGTGATGCGGAGCGGAGGAATAATTGGTCGGTGCGTAAGAAGTTTCTCGACGAGGAGTGTCCATCTCGAAAATGGCATGTCGTTCTCGTTGTTCGGAAGCGCGAGTGTTCAGTCCTGCGACCTGACGTTGTAATCCAGCGATAATTTCGTTCAAGTGTTCAATCTCAGCGGCGGTAGCAAGTCGAGGTTCCGGAAGACGAAGGTCTTCGGGCTCGGTTGATGCTTCCAAGATATCATGAACGGGTGTCGAAGGTACAGGTGTCGATGGTACAGGTGTCAAAGAGTCGTTGCTGCGAATGGAGGGAGTTGTCGAGGAAGATCGGGAAGAGGGAGTAACAAGAGGAGTATCTCTTACTGGGTTACTGGAGGCAGCTTGGGTACTGCGGACAGCTCGAGGAGGCATACTGTATGTTTTACAGGTATGTGGATGGAAGTGGTGAAGATGGAGTAGTACTAGTACGGGTACTGCTGTATAGTAGTATCAACTATCCTATGTCCTAATAGGCTATAGTGATGGATCACCTCAGGTACACTGAGCTGTGATAGAGCGCTTTAGATTCCTGAGCAATGCAAAGGAAGAATCGACTAACTTGTCGATAACCGGTTGTTGGAGGTAAAGATCTTTAGTCGCGTCCGAATAAAGAGGTTGGCGGAGAGTGGTGAATTTCTTGAAGGTGTTTACGTTAAAACAGAGTTACAATAGTCGTGAACTGACTAGTATCCCCACATAGGATTCCAATTGTAAAGAGCCTGTGTAGCGTTGTATGTAGAATAGTATAATATGGAATAATATACTAACTAAATACAGTACAAGGTCTAAAGTGGGAACAGTCAGAAAGGATTATTCTTCGCAACTACTGATGTCTATCAGGTAAACGGCTAACTCACAAGATAATATGTAGAATGCTAGTATGAGCTAATCTAAAGGTATTATCTAAAGTGGTAGTTAGTACAATCAAGAAGGCGCTTCTTGGAGAGTTAGGGAGAAAAAGCGTGTTTCATAATTCATGGTGGCAAAACTTACTACAATTTGGCCTGTCTTATATAGACGTCAGAAATGGGTGGCGAGGCCAACCCTGCGCAAGGGCTCCTAAGGAGACCTTGGCGTACAACCTAACCTTTGTCACTTTGTTCCGAAAATGGCACAAAGTGACAAAGTGACAAAAAGCGACAAAGTGACAAAGTGACATAGAAAACTATGTCACTTTACTATTTTCAGTACAAAGTGACAAAAGCATAAAAAGACTTGCCAGGCTCGAACCTAATTCCATAACTAAACTAAACTTCCAAATTCTACTACAACAAAGGTGGCGAACTATAGAAAGAACTGCACAAGTACGAAGCAATAAGCAAGAGGACAAAAAGGGTAAAGTGTAAGTACTTACACTTCCCCGCTGATGGGTCTTTGTCATTCATCTGGCCTCCTCCTCGAGCGACCGAATTGTCGTGCCAGTTGTACCTCGACCTCGACCTGAAGTGGGCGCGCAAGGAGAGCCAGGCCCCAATCAATGTAGGCAATGAGGTTCTTGTGTCACTAAGAAGTTGTAAAGCTTTCTTAAAGACTGACAAATGCAAGCCATGTACGTTTAATGCCTCAGGACGCCTTGACCGCCCTGACGTGTGAAGCCTGTCGCATTACTAGCTAGAAGGTGGCGTATTAGCTAGAAGGTGGCGTATTGCACCTGAGTCGTTAAGGTTTATATCATCATAACAGACATGCCGTATCAGGCCAGGATCGACATATGCAGCCTGCGATAGCTTTATGCGTGATCAGGCGCAATGCGCCTGCACCAGCCAATTTTTTCCAGAGAAACCACGGTCTGGCATTGAATCATTCGACCCTGGCTTGGCTCATTGCGCCTGACAAATGCGCCATGGTGAGGACAGTCGCACAACAGACGATTTATCCGCCGACTGTAGCTTCAGGCAGCTCTCATTACCTCCTTCCATCCTCATTGGTACGGCAGAGCACTCGTCAGCTCGCTTCCCGTCTCCCCTAAACCGCTCCCGCCAATCCTACCACCTCATATCACACCTCCAACCAGAACACGCAAACGCAAACCCAATTCCCTCCCAGAGACTGCAAATTGCCCTGAGAATTGACCCCGAGTCGCCTCCTTAAGGTGCTTTGCGGTTTTCGTTAAGGTGCTTTGCGTTAAGGTGCTTTCGTTAAGGTGCTTTGCGGCGACTGTCCACAAGCTCTTGAAGTGCTTTCCCAAGCACAAAAACGCGTTTCAAAGTCCCAGACACACAAAGAAGTCATCGCATGAACGCAAATACGACACTGCTGGCCATCGGAAACGATGAAAAAATGGAGCTACCCGGAATCGAACCGGGGGCCTAACGTAATGCGTATTGCTATGAATGCGAACATTATGATTTACCACTAATCGATAGCCCCAATTTATATGTATTCATTTCGTCGCAGTGATCAACTGGCTATACAAGGGGAGCCAAATTTGCAGCCCTTTCAAGTCGTCTTTCTCCTTGTCCTTTTTCGTGAGACTGCATCGAAAGTTCGAAACCAGGGCACGTCCTCAATTCGCACGCTCGTGTGCATGCGAAGGACGCGATTTGCCACTAATCGATATCCCGGTTGGATGAGGGTATTCACAAGTTTAAAGATAAATCGTTCATCATTCCGCCGCACGGGCTTTCAGCTTCCGGGCTGAGGACGGATCGCCGATAGCTGAATTATGATTGTCACATTATTGTCTCTTATCAACCTCGCCGTTTCCTCTTAATTCTCCTCATCCCCTTGAAACCAGTAACGATAACCAGAAACCACCATGGACATCCTCAACCGACCTCACTTCTCACGCACCACCACCTCACACTCCATTACACCCTCCACCTCTTCCCCGGATGACCAGTACATGCGTATCCTAGCGGACGAAGCATACGCTCGCCGATACCCATCCACACCATCCGGACGCTCAGTAGCTGGCTCTTCGTATCGTACGTTCGGGATCAGTGGATCCGGAGGTAGTGGAGGAGGGTTGACGGAGGAGCAGTATAGGATTCTAGGAGAGTTTCAGAGGGTTGTCTATGGTGCTGGAGGAGGGAGGAGTTTGCTCGTTGATGATGATGAGCGGGAGGAGCGGGAGGACGACATGGATCGAGTGGATGCGGCGCAGAAAAAGGAACAGCTCCGGTTGTTTCTTGAACAGCATTTCGAGGCGGATTGTGGTATGTGTCCTTTTACCACCATCGCATCCATTTCCGCCACTAACGACTGACCTCGATCCGCTGGTATAGTATACGAATCACCACTCATCACGCTCCACTCCCGTCCGCTGATCATGGACGCCATCACCCTGTCCTCCGACCTCAACAGCAGCCGCCTCCCATCAATCTATCCTCGCGCACTACTCCAACATTCAGGAACCATCGCACGATGGGGTTTGAGAAAGTTGTTTGGCTCACAGTCGGCGGTACCGGGAGAAAAAGGAAAAGATGTCGAATCCGCCCAGTCAAAAGTAGAGCTGTATGCGGGAGGAAGGGTAGAACAGATCGTACGAGCACTTGTTCCTTGGCTCGTCAATGATCCTGCTGCCGGTGGTTCGCGGAATGCGGAGGGTGCAGAGGCGGAGGGGTGGTGGGAGGTTTGGCATGTCAGTTCAGAATGCACGGAACTTGGCGGGTTCGAGACGTGGCGTGAGTCTTTTTTGGCTTCCGCGATGGGGAAATGTATACTGATGGTATGTGTTTGAGCAGATGGCTGTCATACCGGTATCATCGACCAGTACGTCCGCTTAACCTCTCTACGTCAAAACCCATCTGACCCAACGTTCTGTCCCGACGTAGCACGATAACACTTAAACTCCTCCCCTCCCTCCTCGGCATGGCTGCGGAACCATCGCAAGCAACGACACCGGACGACGGATACCCTTTTACGCAGTACCAATCAGTCGTTGGAGCATCAGCATTCACTTCTCCCGCACCATCAACTTCTTACCTCCCTTCACACTACGCCACACATTCCCATCCACACCCACACCCACATCCACTCCTCCGCCTGCGCACACGAACACGCCCCGTTCCCGTCCCGGCACCTCAAAACTCGTCAACCCTCTTACCCGTCGCAGCGATCCAGAAAGCCTTGGCGACGCTGCTCACGTTCCAGCTCCGAGTTCGGACGTTTGTCGAGTTCAATGAGCAAGGGCGGGTAGGATATGTTAGGGATTTGGTGGATGTGAGGGATGTTTGGGAGGCGGTTGTTCCTTTTGGGCGAGGAGCGGGCTGGGTCGGCCGAAGGGTGCGTTCTTCTTTCTTTTCCTCTGCTATTGCGTAACGGCAAATTACTGAGTTGTGGGCTGACGTGCGTCCTGATATCGCCCATTCACTTGAAAATAGGTCTGCGGTGTGCTAGTCGCGGGACTGGGCAGAGTCTTTGGCCCCTCACCATCGGACGGGGAAAGGCCTTCCTGGGAGCGAGAAAGGGAAAGGGAGAAGGACCGTAAGGGAAAGGAGAAGGACGGTGCAGGGCTTCATTCCCATCAGTTGGCATTACAGGACGCTGCAGCCCCGCTGGTGCTTCCGGAGGGCAAGGTCCCCGTTCCAACCGCTTGCGTGCCAGAGGCGAGCAACACTATGTATCCAGGAGTACCACTCAAGATACAACAGCTATCGGCACTGCCAGCGGTAGCACAACAGCCAGCACAACAACCACAGCTACACGCGCTTCCAAACGTGCTCGGGCTACAGGAGGCGTGGTCTTCGTCGTTGCCGCGGCCGACTTTCCATCCGACCTCAGCAGCACTTGTGCAGGCCCAAACGCAAATGACAACCAGCCACGACGCCTACTTTGCTGCACCCGACGTAGATCGAGGAGCGGAAACGTCGGAACATTAACCTTGACATCGCATGCATGTCCCGGTATCTACTTCTATGGATACAATTTCGCGCGCGCCTTGTCGCCGCTGGAGCCAAGTCACCTAAAACTCGAATCCCGCCTGCCTAAACATGTTCAAATCCGTTCCCGCTTTCGCCTTGTCCACCAAATCCGGTCGTTCCTGTAGCACATCAACGCACATACGCATTGTATCAATTAGTTCGCCGTTGTATACCGCGCTTTACACCCATGTAGCTCAGATATTGTAAAGAAAGAACGAAACGTACCATTGCTTGGAACACTCGACGCAAGGTCGTCCACAACGTTGTACTGTGGTCCGGTGCGTCGGCGCCATTGCCGAGTTTGACGCGAGGCGTGATGGCGGATGCATCAACTGCGTGCAACGCTAGGCCAGCAAGCACTGGAAAAAGGCGGTTGGATTAGCAATGCATACCGTGCACGTAACAGCAGGGACGTACAATGCTCTGCGGCTTCTTGATACACTCCGATATTCAGACCTACTCGGACATGGATTCATTAGTCCATGCAGAAGAGACAATGTTGAATGGTGACGCACAAGAGACGCCAAGATTATAGATGGCACGTGTGAATGTCGGCTTGAGCTCCAATGCCCGCCTGTAAGCGCCGATGGCTTCTTCTGGGCTACCACTATTCGCTAGTGTCGCGCCGAGCCTGTTCCATAATTGAAAGTCCTAATCAAGCAACATCAATCAGCCTCCCGCCCGGTACCCAAGTAGACCAGCGACTCACCGTCGGCCTCACACCCAACGCAGCGACCCAGCAATCCCTCGCCCGCTCAAATTCACCGGTTTGGTAGTACAAGACCCCTAGGCCAACCTGAACATCCGCATCCACCACACCAGCCGTGATCTGGTCTCTCGCGAGGGCAAGGAACGAATCCGTAAGCCTCTGATTCGCGCGCCAAGGGTTAGGTATAGTGCCGGATTCTTCGTCGAGCATGTCCAGGTCCAAATCGGAGGAAGGGACCGGTCCAGCGTAGGATGGGTGGAGGAGGGAAAGGTACCGATGCAAAGCGAGTAGAGCGGAATAGTCATATGATTCGTTGGTGTACGAGATTGCCAATGACTGACGGGCAGGAGTTCAGGTCAAGTAATCCTTTCTATGCGCGCAAGGACAAGGACTCACGACCAAACCTTCACCAAACGTCCGATTCGCCGCCTCTGTCCTGCCTTGGCCCCGGCTCGCCTCGAATCTCTTTCTCCCTTCCTCCAGCGCACGTACCGCCGCCGTCTCCTTTTCATCCATGGCCTGAGTCTGACCCAACAGAGTCCAAACCGCTGCTTCGCCGCCTGCAAGCAACGCTCCTCCACCCTCGTGCGAGGCAGCCTGTTGTTCTGCTGTACCAGATTGCAGTGTCGCTTCCAGTAGGAGACAAGCTTCCGTGAGGGATCCGCCAGAAGAGAGGATATCTAGTGCCCGCTGCAACGAATGCATATCGTTCACGTGGGGGTTCTCTTGCGCTACTCTCCAATCGAAGATCAGCATTGAACCACTACACTACGCAAACGTCACCTCTTTGCAAGACGTACCAAATTCGTAATCTCCGAGAAGAGGGTACCCATCGTCACCGACCAGTCGACCATTCCCGGCGCTCGAGAACCCAAAGTCCGGGACAGCGTCCGTCAAGTCGGGCGTAAAGTCGTACTCTCCATCGTCGTTTTGTCCGTTTGCAAACTATCCGGAGTGCGCGCGAGTGAGACGAGGAAAAATGAAATGAAGGAGACCCAGCGGGGCACAGGAACACGGAAGTAGGGGAAGTTGGCGGACAAAGCACAGCATGAGTCAGTGCCTCTCAGAGTCAAGTTGGAACGGATCGAAGACGAACCTGTGAAAACTCCTTTTCCCAATCAGCCAGTTTCCCTAATCGGTCCGCTTCAGGCTTCAATGACTGCCAGACACTATTTTACACAAACGAGGGTCATAAATAGGAAATTATCAGCCTCGAATCCCTTCGACGCGGGAGCGCAGGAGAAAGAGCGCCAAAGACGGTATGCACGCTTCGAAATCCGGGTTGTTGAACCTCTCCTTGTCCTCTTCCGCCTTTTGATCATCACCAGACAATGCACGCTGCACATCACTTTCCTCCTCTTCCGGCTTTGCCTGCTGCTGCGCCTCGAGTTCTTCATGTTCCTTCATCGCACGTTCGAATGCTTCTTCCATGTTTGCAGTTTCCATTACTGGCTGCTGTTGCTGAGGGAGATATGACGTGTGCGAGAGAGGTTGTTGAGATTGGTAGGTTTGCAGTCCGGCGTACCCTCCTCCCATTCCCATGCCCATACCCATCATTCCCATTCCGGCGTTCATGCCCATTCCAGGAGCGAACGAAGGCATATACCCTGTATGCTGCTGCTGCTGCTGCTGTTGTTGGTACGCCTCACCGCCAGACATTACCTCCCGCGCTTTACCTTTCCCCGAACCGACAAACTGCTGGAACTCGCCGCCCCATGCGTTTCCCTGCGCCGGTCCCTGTTGTTGCTGAGGTTGTTGGTGTTGCGGCGCAAAATGGTGGAGAGGAGCAGGCGCCT